GGATTAAGCGGATACATATTGGAGGATAAGCCCACTAAGACATCTAAGCCCAACGATATGGGTCAAGCCCAACTTGGGCCTAAAAGGTACACTCCCCCTATAAAAGGGGGCTAAGGTACCTCATTCTATCATCCTCTCCTCATTACATTACTACACTTTCTCTCTCTTGATCTGAGCGCTGACTTAGGCATCGGAGGCCCGACGCCGGGGCCACCCCCGGCGTTGGGTTCTGCAGGTACGGAGGCCGGTTCGAGTTGAAGGAGCCCGGGTGAATCTTATTCACTTTACTGTCTATGTGTTGCGTGATTTATTTGATTTACCTCTAAGTTACCCTTTTGTTACGAAGAGTTATTGAGGACTAATTTCTAGACGTTAGATTGTTCAATTCACTTAACTGAATGATCTTAGCTTGATATTTGTATTGGTTAGAAAATCATCATCCCCGACTCCTTAGCTTCTTATCATCATTTGATCTTCGCCTTTGCTTTTAAGTTCGGTTTTGCACTATTTGAATTTTCTTTCGTAGTTGATAACTAAAACCAACCATCTTGATTAAAGTGTTTAAAATTTATTTTTCTTTTATGTGTTATCAACATCATTACTAGATTTTGAACCTCCTTTCTCGAGATACCGACCCGGGAATCGAATCTTTCGATTTGGTACTCGGTAAAAAGATATATTTTGCTACAACAGTTTCCTCTTCACAGAAGCGGCTCTGTGCATGTTCTGGATTATTTATATTCAACTTTTAATTAGGGTCTATGTAATTGAGCTAGACTAAAATGAGAGGTTTCAATATGCTCGACCAATGGGTACGAACGACGCGAAGCGAAGTGTTAAAATACTTTATTTTATTATAATTATGAAAAATTGTAAAAAAAAAAAATAGAAACACAAGTTAGACGGTCTATAGTAATTTTTTTATCTCATTTTTATTTCACAATCTTTATTAGTTTCACACACAATCACATCTTTTGGTTAAAAATCTATTTATTTTTATATTATAATTAACTTTCTATTGTATATAATTGGTCTATTATTTATTATTCTTTCTTATAATTAATTTAGTTATAATATAACATCATAACTATTTTATTAATCTTTTTTTAATAAATAAATAAGTAGAAAAACAATTAAAGTAATAATAATTTTTTACAGAATTTTTGAAATTCGAGAAATTATATTATTCTTTTGAATGAAAAAAAAAATCTTAAAATATATATCTAAGTCAAATGAAAAAATTCTTTTTACACCAACAATAAAGAAAAAAAAAACCACCTTTTAAGAATAAAAATATTTGTCAAGCACAAAAAGATCTTTACGAACATGAACATAGATTTGAACTGGAACAATAATTATGTTTTGCAATAACAACAAATGGACGAAACTATGCAATAACTATAGAGGAGCGTGGGTCGGTATGGTTCGGAGATTGATAAATCTTCGGAATCGTACCAAACTTCGGAGATCCAAAAATTCGATCTTCGGAACCCTACCAAAAAGTCGGTTCAGTTCGGTTAGGTATTCGGAACTATTGGGACGGTTTGATTCGGTATGGTTTGGTTCGAATCTTCGGAGATATTTTATTTCTTTAAATTATTTTTGAATGACTACCTAGTTATATTTTCATTTTTATATGCTTTAAAAAAACAACTTTCATCGACAATTATTCCTATTGAAGATTTTTATTCTGAAATCAATTCTAGAAGTAACTCTAAATTTTAGTTATTTAATTTTTATACGTTTTAATAAAACCAACATTCATCAGTACTTCCTCACATTAAAAATTTTATTTTGAAATCAACTTTATAAGTAACTCTAAATTTAAGTAACTAAATTTGTGCAACTAATATTTAAAATTTAAAATTCAAATAAAATATAATATTTTTTTCTCAAAAAAATATCCTTTAAACTTTCATATTATTTTAAATAAGTATTTTATAATAAAAAAATCCAATTGTAGATCAAATATTACTAAGTATGAAATTTAAATGAGGGTTAATATTTATTACTATATTATATAAAATCAAAGTTGACATAAAATATTTTAATAACACATCTAATGTTATAATTCGGTTCTTAATTTCTGTTCGGTAAAGTACGAGACGGTTCGGTTCGGTTCTCGGTACGGATATTTGTGAAATCTCAATAACCGTACCAATTATTTTTTCGGTTCGGTTCGGTTCGGAGAAAGTCAAATGGTCAACGGTTATTTTTCGATTTGGAGTGATTTCGGTTCAGTTTTCAGAACGATTTGAAATTCTCCAAGTCTCATCTCAACCCTAGCAATAACTATCATATAGTGTTTCTCTATTGATTTTATCAAGCATGATAAAGCAAATGACAATAGTCAATCCAGACAATTGTTCAAAATACTTAGACTAAAAACTAAAATAGTTGTTACAGTCTCAATTCATAAAACAATGTTGTTTTCAGGATAGATATTTATTTTTTATTTACTTTTATTTAATACTATTTTCAAATTATATGCATATAAATACTCTCAAAGTATGGCTAATTACTTTTATATACATTATAACACCTTTTTTTTCACGGAATCATTTTATAGATCGAAACGCAATGTTTGCAAAGTTACAACCCCTATTTAGTTGAATAATACAACCAAAAGTTGAATAAACAGGGAGGACAAGTCAGAAAACCGTATAGAACCGACTCTAGCAACGCTAGAAACCAAAAACAAGACTCACGACGACAGACCCAAAGAAACAAAAAAACTATAAGGCTCCCAATAAGAGAATAAACAGAAAATGATCCCAAAAAGAATAATACCCGCTATCACTCGAGCACATACAGAGGCCAACGACCCAAACAAAAAACACGAGACTTACAACATAAAACAAACAAACAACACTTCTAAACAAAGCAATAACACCTAAATCAGAGCCCTCTCTTCCCCAGAAGATCAATCAGGCTGAACCAGCAGATAAACAGTCGACTCCAAACAAGATCAAAAGCCTGAGGGACTCCTTCCGAAACTGCCGAACCGCCTATACAGAAACCCAACTCGAACCCGAACCCCGAACCAAAAACCAAAATCGACCCTCTCCCAACCAGATGAACCACGAACTGACTCCCCCTCTAGCACTACCCATGCGCACCTAACACCACTAGCCGAGCACTGTAGCGACGAAACCCCCTCCGTCCCCAGCACCAGAGAACCGAGAAGGTGAGAGCGGCACAGGCCCTCAGCCCCGACCACACCGACGCCAAACATCGCAGCCGCCAGAGCCACGCCCCACCACCTGAACCACATCCCGCCTGACGCCAATGCAGAATCTGGAAGCCAAAGACAGAGCCCATAAGCCCCCGTCGAGAATAGTGCAACCGTCCATGGGGAAACCTCGGTCGTCCTTCAAACGCAGCATCAACGAGGGGCACAACTCAGAGATGGGACAGGCGGTCGAGGACGACCACTGGCCGGAACCCTATCGTCATGGAGGAAGGCAAATCGACAGTGAATTGAGGAGATGCGCCGGCTAATTGGGGATTAGGGTATTCGCGAGACCGATCTCCGATTCATAAAAGCTGGTTCGTACAAATTTATAAAAGCGATAGGTAACAGGACAAGCCAAGTCCTCAATTTGAATAAATACCAATCTCCGTTTCATAAAAGTTGGCGTCGTCCCGTACCAGTTCATAAAAGTGTAAATTAATATATCGTCTTGTACCGATTCAAAAAAGAGATAGGTAACGGGACAAGCCAATCCTGAATTTGAATAAATATAAATCTACTTAGTTGGTGTCTCATCTCGTACCAATTCATAAAAGCGGTGACGGAAGAAGCCAAATCCTAAACTGTCTCGGACCGTGCTTACCTCTAACACGAGAGGTC